CCGAATAATGCGTTGTAATAAGTATCTTGTTATCGATTATTCGAAAAAATCGATAAATCTATGCATTTATTTTTAATATGGTAACACTTTCTAAATAAGTATTATTGGAATAATATGGTTTTCTTGTTTAGCTGTTTTATATTTACTTAAACTTTTTTTATGTTTAATTTATCATAATAATATAGTAAGTACTTATTATTTGAAAATATAAAATAAACATTTAAAATACGGCGATACAAATGAAAACAGCGCCATCTATGAAAGTATTTTGGAAACAATAAGCCCCAATTAGCAATGATTAAATTGTAAACAAATACAGGGCAACAACAAAATGAGTAAATATATGAAAATTACTTTTCAAAACGCATTATTTCATTTTAACATCTATATATGACTTTTTAAAAATAGATTAAACCTTTTTAAAAACATAGTTTTGGGTTTTAAACGATTACAAAAACAATGTTGAATTCCATTCGATACCAATGACGCCATCTAAATCCGTTTTTCGAACTAAAAATGGCTACTATGCCATTTTATCAGCCCACTGCTAATATTAAGTAATTAAAAAAAAAAAACAGCTCAAAAATATAACAATCTTTTATTTTCTAATGTTTTAGAGACGACAAGGAACGTAAAATTCAAATATATTATATATTTTCCTTATGTGAACTAAAGAGTTATTAACCAAATACATTCATTTAATAGAGAATGGCAACACTGTCCACACAGCGAGCAAAATTGCCAGTATACGATATCGTTTCAATCTAATATTAAGTAATCTAAAAAAAAAACATCTCAAAAAATGCGGTACAATAGAATACAATAAAAAAATAAATCAATCAAATGTATTGATGAACAGACAACAGAGTTCTTAACAAAATACATTAATTTAATGGAGAATGGCAACACTGTCCACACAGCAGTGTTCGATGTTGGAATAATATTGTTTTCTTTTTTTTTTTTTTTTTACTTGTTGACTTTTTTAATTCGCAACATATAAATAGGCTCTTAATTATCGATAATTATCAACAAATCGATGCATTTATTTCAAAAGTAATTGGAACAACCAACAGTTGTTTTCTTTCTCTTTCTTTTTTTTTTGTTTTTACCATATTTTTATTACATTACAGTTGTACCACCACAAGAATGTGTTAATTGTCTTCTTATGTCATCTTTCGTTCTCTATGATATGATACATACATTTTTTTGTGCCATAAACTAAACCAACAAAGTACAGATCAATAAATAGTTTATGGTACTTATTGATTATTTTTTATGTATTTACATAATTCATGAAAATGTGGACACGTAATGCAAATCGATAATTATAGACGAATCGATGAATCAGTGCATTTACTTCAAAAATAATTGCAAAAAGAGTTGTTTTCTTTCTCTTTATTTTTTTTTTTATATTTAATTTAAAATTGTTTTAGTGGTACAACTGTAATGTAATAATTACAGTTGTACCACTAAAATAATGTTAAATTTCTTATAATCTCATATAAAGTGTATTGTCTATGATATGATACATTTTTTTTTTTTTTGTTTTGTGCAATAAACTAAATAACACAGATCAATAAATGGTTTATGGTACGAAAAATGTATTTCAAATTACGATTTAGATATAATTATCAATATAAAATACATACATATGTGTAATGTGATTGTTTACCTCTTTTAGTTTTTAGTATTTAACTTTGGCAAAAGAACTTTACGCCGAGCCATCAATCGTCGTCCGACTCAACAGACAGAGGACAGAGTATACATATGTATGTAGTATAGAAGAAACAAAAAAAATGTCGTTGGTCTGTGACTGTCAAGTGAGTGAGTGAGTGTGCGCGCGAGTCGGTCGCCATGTGAATGTTTTTTTTTTGTTTGTTAATGAATAATATATACTAAGTACTGTATTCGTTTGTGCTTACATGTCCACATATGCATGTCGATGTGAAAACAAGAAATGTCCTCCTCGTATCACAGCTACTGATCCTGATGATGAGATGAAAAGGAAAAATCTACACCTATGTAGGTGACGCCTAGGTAGACATTTTATTTTAACTGTTTCACGTCTTCTTTTAAAATGCAACGCTATATAAATACTAAGTGCCTTCTGAGTGCATAGAATACAATTTATTTGCTTCATAACATAAATTGTGCAAGATTTGTTTGGTGTTTGTCACAAAATGCAAGCTTATAGGGGTTATATGATTTTTGCATCACTTTTTTATAACTGTTTCCTCATATATGTGTACATTGATATGCCAGACAGTGCATCCCAAGCTTGTTTTGTTTGTTTGTTTGTTACGCAAGCTGTTCTTGAACTCTTGATGAACTACTCTTATTCATTCAGTGCTATTAAAGCCAAAAAATGATGTGAGTTTGCTTCTTGGAATTTGATATAATTTCTTTAAGGTCCTGCCGCCTGCCGCCTGCCGCAATCGGAGAGCGACCATCGTAATAAGTTCAAGTACCAGATGCTGCAACCACAGGACACAGCTTCAGCCAACACAACACACATATCTCCCTCCTGTCACCGTGATGAAAAGTCAGTAACTAACTACATATATATTAAATTAACTATAATGGAATGTTTCAATCGCGCCAGGTAGCTACAGTGTTATTAATCCACATCCACTCACTTCACTAACAATATAATATAACAATATTATTGCTTAGGTTATGTATGTCTCGATGAGTTGCTTTTCACACTGGCCATGGTGCTTGCCGTTCATGTAAATAAATATGTTGGTGGTATATATAGTATATTCTTGTGCTGGTCTGTTTATTAAATAATATAGGGTAATGTTATAGTTTTATTTGTGGATGTGTCCTGTGATTTCATTCTGTATGAGTATTTCATTAATATATGTACAGAGTATATACATACATAATCTGCAGAACACAATATTTTTGAATGATGATTATTGATATTCAACCAGTAATTGGTACAACACAACTTCTTATAATAGAAAATATATTACAATTATTAAATTATAAGTGACAGTGGCCTTAAGCTTTAATTACATACCAAGTTTTGGTTAATTACAAATCAATATATTATTTTGCATTATTATTATTGCATTAGAGGGGTAAATTGTAGTTATTTCAATTAAATAATCATATCATGTAATCAATTAATCATAATTTATTTAAATACAGACATGGTTAAACTGACTGTTTCACATCTGTTAGACAGTTAGTATACATCAAAACTAGTAACTCTTATCTTCTTATCTGCTGATATATGTAGAATAAAAATTACATATAATTTGGTAAACTTTGTTTATGTGTAATATTTTGTACAATACATATTTTGTATCTCACTGTGGTGTTCATTTATAAATTTACAGAGTACCAGACACACACCAATGTGTATGATGACAGATGACTGCAAGTGAAAGAAAGAACAGCAGCAATAGACAGAAAGAAGATCTTGGAGAAGCTCTGGATACGGAGATATTGAATGAATAAAAAAAAAAAGATTAGCCTAAGTTATACCACCTCCTCCTCCTCCTCCTCCATTTATGTACTAGTAAAGCTATCTATAAGCATAAGGGATCCATAGATTGGCAAAAACAAACAAACAGACAGACAGACAGACAGACAAATGTTTTGTTTTTTATTTAATTTGTACATCCTATATTCACATATGTATAATTATTACTAGAAAAGCTATTGATTTGAAGTTACAAACAGACACTCAATTTGTATTTATAGATTACTAGCTGTCCCGGCAAACATTGTTTTGCCATACAAAAAAAAAAAAAATTGGTGGTGGTTGGTGATAGAAGGGTGAAAATTTAGGGTTGTGTATGTATTTAATGTAATGACTCTTAATAAAAAAAAAATACTGTTAGGGGTAGTTGCCGATTCTTTCAACATTTAAAATTTAACATTAGATTTTAATAATATAAATTGTACATAATTTGAATAATAATAAATAATCATGTAAATTAATTTATGATTACAACGTAGCAATAAGGGATACTTATTATTGTTATGTTGTAATCGTTTCAGCAGATGATGTGGCGTGGCGTGGCGTGGCGTGGCGTGTCGTTCTTTTCTTTTATTTCATTTCATTTTATCATCTTTTCCTCCCCCAAGTCCCAATCTCCATATTCATACAAATTATTCATCAGAATTGTTTCTGCTGTACAGAGTGGTGACTTGACAATTCTTACCTGTACCTATGTATATGTATATATATATAATAAATGCATTGCATACTTAAGGTAAGGTAAGTTAAGTAAGTTATAAAAATAAGTCTAGTAGTACATATTTTAACAAAAAAAGTTAGTTATAGAACATTCTAAATTAAAAAAAAAAAGTAGTAAAAAACTGTTATATTGTTGTTGTTATATTACAAAAAGATACACTCCAATTTTATTTATATGTACAGATAGTGTATATATTGGTATGCATTATAAAGAGGTAAGATTCGATTGATTGTCTGTCTGTTTGTTTAATATAATATATTATATTATATTATATTATATTATATTATATTATATTATATTAGGGTGGTCTGTCGGTCAATTAAATAAATTAGTTAATTGATTGAGCGGTCGGTCGGTGTTAGAGCGTGGTTCGTGTAGTGATGGTAACGTGTCGAAACATGTCGGGATTTGAATAGCATACTATTAAGAAAGTAAGTACATATTTATCAGTGGGAAGAGAAGTTGGTGAAATAAATAATTGGGGTTATGTAAAGAAGAATTAGTTAGTTAGTTAGTTGTAAGTAGGTATGTATGTATGTAGGTATGTATGTATGTATGTATGTATGTATGTATGTAGGTAGGTAGGTAGGTACGTACGTACGTACGTACGTACGTACGTACGTACGTACGTACGTCCGAACGTAGTTCGTGTAGTGATGTGACATGTCGTTTTAAATCGTTTACGGTTTCACTCAATCTCGGCCCTATATTCGTGTAGTGAATAATAACAAAAAAAAATTCAATCTTTATCAATTGGATAAGAAAGAATATACACATCGTCCTCGG